ACACACACGCACGCACACACACACACCTATCTACACCACACACCCACATGCACACAGCCATGCACGTGCCGCATTCCCACCTCTCTCTCTCTCTCTCTCACACACACACACACACACACACACACACACACACACACACGCACGCACGCACACACACACACCTATCTACACCACACACCGACATGCACACAGCCATGCACATGCCGCATTCCCACCTCTCTCTCTCTCTCGCACACACACACACAAACACACATGCACACAGATCTATCTACATCCCACACACAGCCATGCACACGCCCCAACCTCACCCCTATTGATCGATCTATAGCCATGCATCTACCAATCAATTTCCTTCTCTACCATACACACACACGCACCCACATGCAACCACAGTCCACCGCCCAATCCCCACCACTCCGGCTTCCTTTTTCTTTCAAGTAGAACGGTGATCGTGCGATAGTACGACTGAATGTAACCGGTAAAACGTGTTATGATTTGCCGATGTTTCTTCTTGGTCTCCCCCAGATGCTCTCCCCCAGATGCAACGACCCTCCGCCCTTTGATAGACAGCAATGATCAAACAGAACAAAAAATTAAAGGGAAAAAAACAGGTACCAAAAAACGGGCCTAGCTCAGTTGGTACACCCATGAACTCTTGGAATACAGACCCAAGTTCAAATCCAGATGTAATCAGATGAAAAAGAAAACCCCAGGTAAAAAACGGCGGGTAATTACATAGCCGGTAAAAGCACGGTGGATAGACAAACAGCGGAAAGAAAATGGCGCGAAGAATAACAAAAAAAGGGCGGGTAAAAAACGGTGGAGGTGAAAAATGACGGACAGAAAACCCGGGGCCAAGAACACAGAGGACGGGTGAAAAACGGCGGGTAAAAAGAACGGGGAAGGTTAAAAAAGAACGGCAGGTAAAAGACCTGCGGGTAGAGAAACTGCGCGGAGAATAAATAAAAGGCGGGTAAACGTCCTTCGGGGCATCCATTAAAATTGGAACGATACAGAGAACCTAGACAAGATTAGCATGACCCCCGCCCAAGGATGACACGCATAAATCGTGAAATGGTCCAAAAAACACAAAAAAGGCGGGTAAAACACACAAAAAAGGAGGGGGAAAAAACACATTCGGTAATACAAAGGATGCAAAAGCCGGGGAGATCCACGAAGGCGGAGAGAACAAAAAGGCTTCAAAACAAAAAAAAGGCAAAGGAGAGAAACGAGAACAATCATATGCCCCTCCCCCCCTTTAAAAAAAAAAAAAACATGCGCAGGGAGACAAGGCGAGCAAGAAAAAAAAAAAAACAATAAAAATCCTTCTATTACTCCACAA